TCTCATATTTATACTTGCTCAAAGGAAAGCTTTGCTTATATTTTATTAAATCTATAAATCCAACATAATTAACATCAAGCTTGTCAGTCCTTCTGATTTAGAGTAGACCTGTTCTTGGCTTTCCTATAACTGCCTTAGTCCATTTGAGCTGCTGTAACAAAAATATCATAAATGGTTTGGCTTATGAACAGCAAACATTTATTTCTCACAGTTTTGGAGGCTGCAAGTCTGAGATCATGGCACCAGCAGGTTAGCTGTCTGATAAGGACCCACTTCCACATTGCCAGCTATTTTTTCACATGGCAGAAGGGTCAAGGGATCTCTCTGGAGCACTATCCATGAGGGCTGTACCCACATGAACTAATCACCTGTCAAAGGCCCCACCTCCTAATACTATCACTTTGGAGGGGTAGGATTTCAACAAATACATTTTGGAGGGAACACAAACATTCAGTTCATAGCACTGTCCTAAATTCCCCCATTTCTTTCAGTTTTATTCCCATTTGGGGGAGAGTTCTTTATCCCTCTTATTGAGGTAAACATCTGATCATATTTTCCTTCTGAAATGTCCTCACATTCAGTGCTTCAGTGCCATTCTCCTGATGAGTATAGACCCCTATTACTATTACTTCATTCCCAGTTTGATTTGGTAGTCTTCTAGCTTGTCTTCAGAGACCAGCCTCTCACTTGACCAGTTTAACTAATTGTTCATTCTGTGTTGGTTTTGACTTGGATGGTGTGTGTTTATTGAATAGTTCTTACTACTGACAGAATAACATTTAGAAGAATTTTAGATTCATAACTCATTTAAAAATAAATTATATATTTTACTCAACCTCGTGGTTTTATGAAGCAAATCATGCTCTACTAGTATTTTCATATTGATGGGCCATTTAAAAGGGGAAATGATTCTAGGAGGATTCTGGAGAGATAAAGTTTGTTAAATATGAAAAAGACTTGATAACAATTGTAAGAGACCTGAAGTTGGGAAATTAGGATGTCCCTTTCTCACATAAAAGTGGGAGTGGGATGTTGAGGAACAGTGTCACATAATAGATGGGTACCCACTTGGAGACAAGTCCTTGAGGGGTAAGGAAGTGATTGATCATATTCTAAAAAATATTCTGTACCTAACTACAGCACAAAGGGTTATATTCCTGAAAATCTTGATCAGAGAACCCATGATTGAGATAGTCTGATCTTACAGCATTAAGTCATTAATGAACACAGGTCATTGGTGGATAAAGAAATGGATTAATGAATACAGAAAAACCTTGAAAAAATATGCAATTTTACTTGAAGGCAGCACTAAATCAATTATATATTTAGTAATAATGGCTACTCAATAACTAATATCGATTTATTGGTTGGTAGAAACATCAGGATTTTTACTCTAGGTTCAAAAGCATGTAAATTTATTTTGATATTTGTAATTTTATTTTAATTCAATTTAATCAATAACATTTTTGTTAATTTATTTTGCATTAAATTTTAGGATGGAGGGAGTGACAGTACAAAATATAATAAAGGAAGTTGTCAAACCTTCATTTGTTATGGAAGGAAGACATTCAGAGATCCATATTAACTTGGGAGACCAAATGATGACTACACCTCAGTTGCATTTTATATCTTGGAGTGACTCTCAATTTTAGGTGACTCACTGTTCACTAGGTAGTAGTTTAAACAACTCTTCTCAACCCTGCCACACCTTTGAGCTTTCTTTTCTCTTTCCATTTCCAACATAATTGAAAGATTTATTAATTCTTGTTGCTCTTACTTTTTACTACTTGTTTACTTCTGTGTAGCGAATGGTTGATCCTGGCCAATAACTAACCTTAGAGACTGCTCCTTAAAATACATCTTTCTTCTTTGTTAAACCTGATTTTATTATTCAACAACAAATACTAAGTAGCTAGTATTTTTTCAGTACTATGCTAAGTGCTAGTTATACAGTGGAGCATAAAGCTAATACCATCTCTTTTCTTCTGGAGTTTTATATCCTCAAAGAGGAAACAGATAATAAAATTAAAATTGCAACTTCTCTGGGTGCCTGGGTGGCTCAGTGGATTAGGCCTCTGCCTTCGGCCCAGATCATGATCTCAGGGTCCTGGGATCAAGCCCAGCATTGGGCTCTCTGCTCAGTGGTAGCCTGCTTCCCCCTCTCTCTCTGCCAGCTGCTCTGCCTACTTGTGATCTCTCTCTCTCTGTGTCAAATAAATAAATAAAATCTTAAAAAAAAAAAATTGCAACTTCTCCATTACTCCCTATGTTCCTTATTTTTTTCCCGTAGCATTTGTCAACATTTAAGACTCTGTATTCATTTTTTTGTTTGATTCCACCCACCTAATGTTGGCTCCATGAGGGCAAGGCTCTGTTTTCCTAGAGGAATATTTGTTGGCTAAGAAATGAAAAAGGGGGGCGCCTGGGTGGCTCAGTGGGTTAAGCCTCTGCCTTTGGCTCAGGTCATGATCTCAGAGTCCTGGGATCAAGCCCCATATTGGGAATCTCTCCTCAGCAGGGAGCCTGCTTCTCTCTGTCTCTCTCTCTGCCTGCCTCTCTGTCTACTTGTGACCTCTCTCTGTCGAATAAATAAATAAAATCTTTAAAAAAAAAAAAGTGAAAAAGGTGGGGACGCCTGGGTGGCTCAGTCCTTAAGCATCTACTTTGGCTCAGGTCATGATCCCAGAGTCCTGGCAGGAAGCCTGCTTCTCCGTCTCCCACTCCCCAGCTTGTGTTCCCTCTCCCGTCTCTGTCAAATAAGTAAATAAAATCTTTAAAAAAAAAAAAAAAAAGTGAAGGGGCACCTGGGTGGCTCAGTGGGTTGAAGCCTCAGCCTTCGGCTCAGGTTATGATCCCAGGGTCTTGTGATCGAGCCCTGCATCAGGCTCTCTGCTCAGTGGGGAGCCTGCTTCCTCCTCTCTCTCTGCCTGCCTCTCTGCCTACTTGTGATCTCTGTCTCTCAAATAAATAAATAAAATCTTTAAAAAAATAAATAAAGTAGCTTTCCTAACACTTTCTCTGCCACTGTAGTACCTTTCCTCTTCAGGCTGCTGCCAGTAATCTTTGTAAAATTCAATTCTGAATTTCTTCTGTGGTCTCCTATCTTTTAAGGGTAAACCAGATTCCTTAGCTTTTCATTATTGAATTTCTTCCCATCCAGTTAGCCTTGCTTTTTTTTTTTTAAATTATTTACTTGCCACTCCCTGCTCTCCATCTCAAAATTTATATGGCAGCAATACCAATATTTGCACTTACAGCTTCTTTGTGAAGTGGGGGCTAGATCAGAGGCATCAGCTAACTCAGAAACCAGTTAGAAATGCAAATTATTAGGCTCCACCCCAGGGCTTTCTGAATTAGAGACCCTGAGAGTAGAGCTAAGCAAGCTAAAAACAGGCCTTCCAGATGATCCTGATATACCTTAAATTTAAGGACCATTGCTTTAATCCATTAAAAATTATTTCCTTACCAAGCTCGGCCATTAATTACTGTGTTTTCTTTCTTTTTTTTTTTTTTAAAGATTTTTTTTTTTTTTTAATTTATTTGACAGATCACAAGTAGGCAGAGAGGCAGGCAGAGAGAGACAGGAGGAGGCAGGCTCCCTGCTGAGCAGAGAGCCTGATGCGGGACTCGATCCCAGGACCCTGAGATCATGACCTGAGCCGAAGGCAGAGGCTTTTAACCACTGAGCCACCCAGGCGCCCCTACTGTGTTTTCAATATCACTTTCATTTGTGTAACTCTTAATCTATATCATTAACCCTGATATCTGTGTCAGTCCTACTTCTTAAATTCTGTGGAACATCTTTCTTGGTTATCTGTTCTGTGCTTCAGCCTCTATAGGCTCTAAACAAAATGCATTTTTCATCTACTGAAACCTGTTTTACATGCTGTGTTTCCTATTTACTCCTTCAAAAGATTCCTCTTTATAGCTTTGAGTGATAGTGCAGCATTTTCTCATTGGTTTCTGTTTTGTCTTGTTCTAGAGGAACAACAACAACAAAACAACAAAAAGATTCTTTAATAATTCTACTGACCAAAAGAGGGTCAGGACTTTCCATGCAATAGAATTACTATGTTTTGTAGACCGTTTGTTAAAATGTATGTTTATCTTACTCTCCCTTAGTCTTTCATTCCTCCCCCTTCTCCTCCTCATCTTCTTTCTGTCTCTCAGTTTCAGAACTTAGAGATTGTTTACTTTGAATCTTGACCTCAGTTGGCCAGATTCTACCATAAAGCTGGAGGGATCTTTGACCCTGGGTCCGTAGAGTCATAACTTGTGTGCCACAACTTGTGGCACCAAAGGGTGAAGCCAAGGAGCATTTCAGATATCTTGGTGCAATTTCTACAAGAGGTTCCCAATATTTTTTAAAGGAATGAGTGAGTAAGTAGGCAAGTCTCAAAAGAATGGACGGATTGTCAGGGTCAAAAAAGCATGATGAGATTGTGACTAGAGATATAAAAAACTTCAAGGATTTTAGCAATAAAGTGAGGAGTTTTGACTCTCAAGTATTAAATGAATAAATAAGAGATTTTAGAGGAAAGACAAACCGTCATTATCAAAGATGGTTAGATTCTTTCTTCTATGAGGGAGAAAGGATAAATTTAAACATTATTTCAGTATAAATTTTCAAGTTTAATTTTTAGGACTCATGCTTATTTATATGTGTGCTTCCCTGTGAGCGCTCAGTTTGATATACTTTTTTAATAATTTTCACATTGATTCATGTATTGGTTATATTCTAATGGTTGACCATATATTTTAGGCTATAACTTTTACTGTTATTATAGTTCTGTTTTTGTTGGATAGGAAAGACAATAATTTGTGTGTGTGTGCATGTGTGTGTGTAAAATCTATTAAATTGCACATTAAATTATCTCACATGAGGAATTTTTATACTTGAAAATCATGTCATATATCCTTATAATTTGAGCTATTCTCATAAGGAATATATATTCTTAAATTATAATAAACAAAAACCTTTCTTTTTAACATACACACAGGAAACCTCGACCTGTCTCCCAGTTGGTTGCCCAGCAGGTTACTCAGCAGTTTGTGCCCCCTACACAGTCAAAGAAAGAGAAAAAAGATAAAGTAGAAAAAGAAAAAAGTGAAAAGGAAACAACTAGCAAAAAGAACAGTCATAAGAAAACCAGGTAAATTTGTGAAATAATAAATGAACCATTTAATATTCTCTTTTAACATTGATATATTCATATGTAAAGTGGACATAAAGGATTTCATCTCCTTTATTATAAAATATGAAAGTGTCTTTCTGAGCTTGAGAGGTCTATTAGAAATTAAACACAGAGGCCACTAGTATAAGCTTAAACGCTTGCCTGCCTGCCTGCCTGCCTTCCTTCCTTCCTTCTCTCTTCTCTCTTTGCTTACTAGATTCAAAGACATTTGTGTTGGAGCTGATACTTTTTCGGTCATAAAGCCAGGAGTGACATTCATAATACTGAACAGATATTTGCATGGGCTTTAACTGGTTAAAATATTCATGGGTATCGGCAGAACAGATAATCATGATGCCCTTCTCAGTGCATATCTCTGGAGTAACAGCCTTGCATATATAACTGCCTTAACAGTTATTAACTTACTCTGCGATCCAACTATGTCATTGCTTTTCTAAAACATTTATTTAGTAAAATTGATAAGCTGTTTGCAAAACGATGATAAAGCTTTAAAAGCACAATTAAGAGACCATTGCTTCCAGAGTATCTATTTGTCATGTTGAAGAAGATTCATCAATGATTGGTTCAATTAATGTTAATGATTTGAAACATTTAATTATATTTTCGTGGCTAGTTCATACATGAATCTAGAGCTTTAGATATAGATGTATTCATTTTGTTATTTTTACCTAATTTATTCATTATATGTTCAGAAAGTTGGTAGAGAGAAAAGCTAGTTTAAAATTTTATCATCTTTTGTATTTAGGCCAAGATTGAAAAATGTGGATCGGAGTAGTGCTCAGCATTTGGAAGTTACCGTTGGAGATCTGACAGTCATTATTACAGACTTTAAGGAGAAAACGAAGTCCCCGCCTGCATCTAGTGCTGCTTCTGCAGATCAACACAGTCAGAGTGGCTCTAGCTCTGATAACACAGAGAGAGGAATGTCCAGGTCATCTTCACCCAGAGGAGAAGCCTCATCATTGAATGGAGAATCTCATTAAAGTTTATTTTCTCCAATTTCTTAGTCACTTCTGTCATAACATACAAATATACAGATTATGCCAAGAAGTACCACATTTTCATGACAAACATTCATGCACAATCCATAATTTGCGTTTTACACAAAATAGAAATTTGTTAGAATTTGTTAGACTTCATTGCAATCTATGCCTACCAAACAAACCTTTTCAGACTTGACATTTTGGTCTCCACAGTTCAAGGTGCCATGAAAATGTGGTTGAATTATTCATTATGCAGTGTTATTGGTAAGTCTATTTTCACTTTTAGTTTAGTGAATTCTAACACATAATTCTTGAATTCTCTACTATTGGCATGTAACGAATTTAAATTTTTATAACATAGTGCAAGCTGCCTAAATATGTATTATTTGAGAATTGTGAACGAATAGTTATATGTATACAAGTCAAAGATCAACTTAATCAACTATTGCTGCAACAGGATTTTCTTAATGGTTATCCTCTTAAATACACCTGCTGGTACTTGGTGTGGTTAAATAGGAAAAATTGTTATTAAATAAAGAATTTGTATGAACCGTTGCCAATGTTTTTGACACATTTTACTAAATTATTGTTCCTGATTTATGTTTCTGGTTTTATCTTTGTTTTTGTTTATCTTTAAAGTATTCATTATTGTAATGTTTACTAGCAGAGTAGTAAACAATAAAACATTGATTATTTAGCTTTATAATTCAGGTTTAGTGCTCTTATCATTGAACACTGGTATTTTCTGTATAATATAAAACTTTAAAGTTCAAATAATTATAAGCATTTGGCAAAAACAGAAAAGAAACCTGACATATTTTAAAGGCTGCAATTTTGGAAAAGCTTTAACTTAATAATAGTTTATCACTGTTGTCTTGCCCCAAACTTGTGCAGGGTCATAGAAGTATGAATCTAATTAATACAGAAATGGAACTGTTTCGCAGAACTGGGAAATAACTAATCTTAAATCAGTTTAATTGGCCTCTTATTAAATATAAGATTCTTAAAGTCATAGTGCCCTATTTTCAGACACAAATGCCAGTTTATGCATTTATCAATATTCCTGAAATAAAAGTATTTACAGCCCCACTTACTATTATGTAAAATTACCAATAAAATATTTTTATGACTACAGATTTTGCAGTTTTGTTCACAACTAATAATGTGTTTCATGTTGTATTTAAAAATCCAACCTAGAAACCACACAGTACTTTTTAAATTTTTCTAGGGTCTCCTGCTTCTTTTAGCCATTTGTTTAATATATATCCACTTCTAGGAGACTTCTGAAATATAAATTAAAAACATAGCTTAGATACAAAATATCACTTAAAAGCACTATGATTGCATTTGAAGAACAGAAAAAACAAAACTGTAGACCCTGACAGTTGTGGTATTTGGTGGTTTCTCGTGGTAATGTAATTTTCTGTTTAATTGCAGTACTTTTTCCAGGCACAATGGGACTGTCTTTTTTGTAAGATGCTAGTTGTGAAATACAGTTACTTGCATACAGTAAAAGTCTGTGATTAAAACATTTATATACCTCATTCTTTAGTGTTGTTAAATGAGAAATTAAAGTTTGTTTTTATTATATGATGCTTTCAGTGGAACCCCAGTGAACTGGTTATGTTCTTTTAAAACACGAAAAAATTTTGCCATATTTTATTGCTTTTCATGTTTTTCAAATGTTTTAAATTTTAGACATAGTAAAAATTACAAGTAATAATTGTAATAGGGAAAAATCTTCTAATTTTTAAGTCAAAACTGTGCTTGGAGACACTAGGTCTTCTGATAATCAGATTCTTTCTGGATGTATTTTAAATGGACTGTGGGAGAGAAAGAATCTTGACAGAGATGGGATTTTACCTGAATGGAGCGTAGTCATTTTTTCATAAGGTGGGGGTGGCAGAGATAGTATAGTGTGGAAATTTAGTGGGCTAACTGGTATCTGATGCTTTGTATCCCGGTTGTAGAACCTAAGTGAGCTTGAGTAAACTACTTGAGGTCACGTCCCATCTATTATATAGGGGTAACGGTAATCAAATCTAACTGATCGAGTCGTTGGGAGGATTAAATGTCAATCCACATAAAATTCTTAACAACTACATGGCGCACACTGGCTGATCAGTAAATGAGCCTTTACTATCTTTATCGGTAAAATCCCATTACAAAAACAAATTGTTTCTACACCCTCTTGGATGATCAAAAGGAATTGTGTTCTGTAAGTTACACTGAATTTTCTACATCTGATGTTTGCTCTGATCCCAGACCAGCCAACTTTCTGTAATTAAAGAACCTGATGGAATGCTATATGAGGCAGGACAACTGAACTGAGTCAGCTGGTTTGAAATTTTGTTTTCCTGTCATTAATCACAATTCATGTACTTTCATTTCACCCTACCTCAAATACACTTATAAACCAGGAAGCAGACCCAAATTCCGTAAATATACCTAATGTTAAAATATGCAAAAAGATTCAGAGCCTGGGCTTAGGGTACATTTGTAGCTCTGTTTCATCAATTTACACTGTGGTTTTAGCAGTGGGGTCTTTTAACCAAATTTCATACAAAAAGAGAATTTGAATGTTTTTCAGAGTTTATTAATTTATTTTGATACAATTAAGAGCAAAGATATAATTTGAGGCATACCAGAATATGTATTCTTAAAACCTTTTGTATTACACAGTAGAAATAGTTGACTTAAAGGCTTTATTTTTGTTAAATGCTTTCCTAAAATTATAGTGATAGTAGACAAAGTGAAAACATTAAAAAAGGAAGAGAATCTCAGCTTTTCTAAGTTGATAGCATTTTTATTATTACCTTTCTTTTAGACAAAAATCCTTTATTTTCCTTGCCTAAAGAATGTAGTTTCTGCATGTTTATGCATTAATGCTAAACGGTCTAGAAATTTTAGTTTCCAGTGAGGCCCTTAATTTTACTTATTTTCTTGATCTGCACATTACCTCTTCTGGAGTTTTAAAGACCTGATACAGGAACTGGACCATTGATAGGAATTTCTGTATTATACTTTGAACATTAAGTGAAAACAGAAAAGGGGGTGTATAAGGAAAACGATAACCATAAAATAATATTTTGACATCAGCATTGCCCTCCCTTGCCCTTCAAACATAGGCACCTTCAGTTTTCTGGAATAATGAATGTAGAAAAATTGAAATGCAGAAAAGTCAGTAATCAGAATCAAGAGACACTGAAGTTTACCAAATATAGGATATGACTGGTCATTTTGTGAAAGCAGAAGAAAAAGAATGCCCTCACTGGCTATTGCGGGTGATAGAAAGTAAGCCCCATTAATAACAAAGGCAAGGAGGGATAGGAATGGAGGGAAAATGAGGGAGGGGGTGGAGAAAAAGCAAAGATAGCAGAAATTAGGAAATGGGGTATTGAAACACAATCTGGATGATCATAGAGAAGAATCACTAGGGAGGCAGAGAACAAATTGTAGTATGTCTGTCTCTGAGAAGGTTTAGAAACCTCACTGTGATACATCTTCCTAATGACTCAGTCATTAAAATTTTAGCTGTGTTTACTAGGGCAGCAATATGTGTAATAACTTCAGAACAATTTTCTTTAAAACCAGTTCATTTTAAGAAGCTGTGATAGAGAAGTTTTACCTTGAATTATATGAACACTACTTTCCTAAGTGCAGATCCCCTCTCTCCCAGATAATTTAAATGTTTTTAATGTGGCCTTTGTATTTAGCCAGTGTAGCTACTCCTGTCTTTATGGGCCAGTTCTGTAGCTTGTGAAATTCCGTACTAACACTAGGTACTTCTATGGAAAAATCAAGTAGAGCTTTGAGAAGTTTCAGTGCTCTGGGACATGTTTCATGTTCTAAATCATTTTATGGGTATGTTTGTTTTCTGTGTGTTTTCATCAGTAGGAGTCAGAATGTAGTAGCTATTTTACTATTGTTACACTTTGAGTATTTTCCTGATCTAGGTTGTCTTTATATCAGTACTCAATTCAGAGAACATTTATTGAATATATTTTGTGCACTTGGCATTGAACTAGGGGTTGGAGCTCACATGTTAAGTGGAGAGACCTGTAAGTAAGTAATTACAGTGCCATCACTGCAACGGTAAAAAAGTGTAAAGATAACTGAAGTAGCAGAGGAAGTGTTTGCCACTCCCCCCCCCCATCCCCGCCCCCATTTTCTTCTAGGAAACTCAGCTTGGCCTAAGTATTCACTGCAAGTCCACACTGAAAATGTTAGGATTTCATCTTGATAGTTGCAGCTAATAATGTTCAGTGTCAGTTTTACTAGCTCATTTCATTACTCCTGCTTGAATTTTCAAAGTTTAACACTTTAGGCCATGTGAGATGATCATTTTCCTGTAATAATTTTTAAAAACCAATAATCAGCTAGCGAGGTCTGCTTTTGCTTTCCGTGAAGCTAATGAAGAAGCATTACCCAGCATGCAAATGAGAAATTTTATTCCGACCTATTTAAGGAAAAGCTTTAATTCACGTGAGAAAATTTGCCTTTTGCTTACAGATAATGCAAATAATTCAATTCATTGATTGCCCTCCATTTCTGAGAGAAATGGAGGATTAAAATTCGGCTTCAGATTAAAATTCGGCTTTTAATAATTAAGTAAGACTTAATCTCCTGCCAAGTCCATATTCTTATTCTTGATTGTATTTTTTTGTAGATTCTGATATTGATGTTTTTCATTGTGTTCTTACAAAGTTCCTCAAATCTCTTCCCTAAGGCTAAATAGTAATACTGTTTAGTAATGCTGTTAGTATTATAAAGTACTATAGTATTGTAAAGTATTATAATACTTTGTAATACTAACTTTTTAAAAAAGTTAGAAAATTTCTTCATTTCAATGTGTGAGGCTAAGCCCCACTGAGAACTTTTTGGGACAAGGTTCTAGTGAAATGGGTGACTCCCTAACTGGAATTCCTGAGTGGCAAGTCTTGAGCTTACATGTCTAGGTTTAGATCTTTTGGCCTATCTGGAAGTAGGGAGTTTGAATGAAAGTTACCATCTCATCTTCGTATTTCATTAACTCTTTTAGCAAGAGAATTCAGGAACTAAGCTGGGTAGCAAGACTCATTGGGAGTTTTTCATGTATATTATTTTCACTATCCTCTTAATTTATAATAATAGCAACAATGAAATTAACCTGTGTTTACTTTTACAGTCAGCAATATTGAGGTTGGGTTACTGTGTAAAACCAGTTCGGGAGAAGATTCCTAAGGGACAGAATGGCAGTGAAAGCATTTTTTAAAAACAGAAAGTAGGCCGAGTTCTCAGAAGAGCAAAATGATCTTGGCCCAAGAGATAGTTCTTTAATCAAAGAAGATAAAAAAGCCTATGTTTCCTGTACAGGATAAGATAAACAAGGAACAGTTGAACTCCGAGGAAAAAGGAATTTTTTTTTTACTTTATTAAAAATATAGAAAAGTAAAAAGAAACCAAACATAACATAGGGTTGTCTAGTGATGTAATTTCTTTGTAGAAAAGAACAATATGGGTAACAATAAGAATTCTGATTCTATTTTTTGAACTGAGGCCTGGACTTCTGAAGT